AAATAGAGAGAAAAAAGAAAGAAAGAATAGTAATTCACGTGAGAGTTGTAAGAGTGAATGTATAAGCGTGAATTTCACCCTGGATATTTTCTAGAGATAACGAAATGTCGGCGAATGTAAGTAGTACGAATTATAAATCAATATTAATTCGATCAGGATTGTTTACGTTCGATGCATTTACCATTTGTACATGGATTCTTTGTTCCTTTAATTAAAATCCTCTTTATTAATTGTCGAACACACTGCTATGCAATTATTGTATCTGTCTCCCGTTTCCCTACCCCCGAATTTGTTTCCCCCCCAACCGAACTGACGGCCATCGATAGAATCTACAGAAGCATGGAAATAAACGAACACGTTGACTTACAGAAGCGGGATTCTGCAATCGAAAATTACTCATCCAAATTCCCAACTTTTTTTTTTTCTCTTTACCCGACCGCAAGTTCATTGGTTCCTTGACGACTAACTAAACGAAATCGGTGTTTCAGGAAATCGACGACAACGGAAACATCCGTGGCACAGAACTCGACGCAACAAGTCGTTCTGATATGTCGGAAACTTAGTGTAACGAGCCAGGCAAATAACGGTCAGGTGAAAATCATACCGCCTACTCTGCAAAATACGAATCAGACACAGCATAGAAGAGTCGGGGAGCATTGTGACGAGGATAAAAGTGTTACGATAAGGGATAGAACTAGTGCGGTTGGAAATTTATCGTACAGTGGCTCAACACCGGCGAGCGACGAGACGATGAACTATAATTTTCAATTGGAAGAATCGAAGGATAACATAACCAACGGGGTTAACAACGATCCACTGTTCATCGGAGCGAACAGCGCACCGATTGGATTGATTCAGCAGCAACCGATGGTGAATACGATGAGGACAGTTTTGGTCCCGATCATAGATCCGGTGACCAAAGAGATTAGAAACACTCTGGTACCGATCAACGTGAGGAACGATTCCGGTTTGAATCTCATTCAAAACATACCTGTGCCGCTTTACAACCAAGGCGGTTTCGTCTCGTACGCGATCAACCAGCTGATGGTACCTTATCAGCAGAATGTAGTGGTGCCTACGAGAGGAAGACCGAAAACCATGGCGATAAACAGAGCGAATGTCTTCAGACAACCTATAAGAAGGGACGTGCAAACGAAGAGTAAACAAGGGGGAGACCTGGGACAGATGAAGAACGAAAGAAAATTTACTACGCCTAACGTTGCGAGTGAAATGAATCCGATGAATTACGACGGGAGAATATCGAGCAAACCCAACGAAGAGATAAAAGAGGAGAAAATTGTGGTGCTGGGACAACAGAAAGACGGTGCAATAGAAGGAGGAGACTTGGATACGCCTAAAGAAGAAGTGGACAAAATATTGGACGATCTGAAAAACGTGTGTCCTTTTTGTCAAAAGAGGTTCAAGAACGAGAGTCAAATGATGTCTCACATGTACAATCGTCACGGCAGGTCGTACAAGTGTGACAAGTGTCACAAAGGGTTTCTCTCGAAGCAGACGTTGCAGGAACATCAGCAAGTCCATCAAGAATCTTCCTATTTCCAGTGTTCCATTTGCCTGTTGAAGTTCAAACGTGCTCTAGGTTTGAACCATCACATGATTCGTGTGCACGGCACGGAAGAGCCGAAGTACACATGCGATCATTGCGGCAAACGTTTCAGACTGAAGTTCGACGTGAGAATGCACATCGAGAAGAGTCACATGATGGTCTACAACATCTGCAAATATTGCGGGGAGTCATCACGAATGGGAGCACGAGAAGAAGGAGAAGAAGATCAACTTTCGTTTCAACTGTCATCTGTGTCGTCACAAGTTCACAACTCGTATCCACTACGAGAATCACCTGCAGATGCACAAAGAGGGCTTCAAGTGTGACCTCTGCGGAGAGGTGTTTCGTACACCGTCGGTTCTCTCCGCTCACAAAGAGGTGAAGCACAAGCCTGGAAGATTGTGCACGATCTGCAAGAAAACGTTCCGGAATAAGAGTAATTTTTATCATCACGTGCTCACCCACGCCGGTCTGAGACCGTACAAGTGTGACATTTGTAGCAAGGACTTCACACAGAGATCTAGCGTGACGAGGCATAGAAAAACACATCCGGGACCTCTTCCTCCGTTCACCGAAGTGTTTAAAATCGCGGACATCGCGAAGAACGTTCTGCAGGCATTCTAGCGCGCTCAGAGAGGCGTGTTGCAAATTAGTGAAAATTGTTTAGTTTCTCGTTGAGTCGAGACGGGGGACATGTGATGTACACTTTTAGGAGAAAACTGCTACTTCCGTGGAATTTACGGAGGTGCGTTCGAAACGGTGTATTCAGTTTGTATCGGCAAAAGAACCTGAGGAAATTTGTCTTTTGTGATAATTGAATATAACATTTCGAGATGGATCTTTTATCGAGAATTGATTGAAACTTACAAGGGTGGCGAAATTTAAGTGTTATATTGAGAACTTTAATATAAATGGATTCGTGAGTTTTAATATAAAAGAGTTCGTGAAAAGAAACGTTCGCTAGGGAAGATTGTAAATCGTATTACATTTTAATTGATATATATATTTTTCTTGTAATTTTATCCATTGCATATTTTTTTAGACACGTAACAAGGTTTTTTTCTCTCTTTCTTTTTGCGAGAATATCTACGGAAAATAATGTATTTAAGTTAAGCGAATATATTGTAATTTCTTAAGGTATAATAATTTACAATAAATCCAAGGAAAAGTATTTGTTAACCATATTCAATAGAGGCTTTTAATATTCTGGGCATAAGGAGGTTTGTCTAATTGTGCTCACAAAAGTGACTGCTCGATCGTTTCATAGAAACTCGTTGTGAAAGTATTCTCATTTAAACGCCACAGTTTGTCGAAATAAAAGTGTGCATTAAATACGACTGAAAAGTAAGTTACATTTTCAATATACTTCAGATGTTAATCATACAAATCGTGCTTCTAAATACACATATCACCAAGATTATTCGACAATTTCCATCTAAAAGAAAGAAAAAAAAAAAAAAGAAGCTCTATGCCAAATAAAATTCCTACGAATAACGAAGAATTTAACCGGAGAAATTTCTTACTCGCCATTTTCACATTTTAGAAGTAACATTGTTAAAGAAGCGTACATTTCTCACACACTGACACACACTATCCTTGTTTCAGAGAACCTGTCGCAGGGCAGCAAAGAAATCCAGACAGAAATTCGTCTTGCCATTTAACAGCGGTCGATTCATGGAAGCACGAGAGCCAAGAAACACCGGCAACAAGATCCAAGCAAGTCCCATTGACCAATCTCGAATACATAAAACTGGAGGAATCTCTGGAACGATCTGAGAAGCGCGAAATCTTCCTCGAGTCTGATCGATACCTCGAAAATCGTGAAACTCTGAGAAAAAGTCCAAAGAAACCGAGGACAGAGTGCAGAAACGCTTGGTCGAAGAAGATCGTCGAATCGGAGAGCGCGAAGAAGGACGAAGCTGAGGTGGATCAAGTTTTGGACAAGATCAAAAACACCTGCCCGTTCTGCGAGAAGCGTTTCGACAACGCGAAGAAGGTCGAGAACCACGTCACCTACGTCCACCGTAAGCCTTACAAGTGCGACATGTGCAAGAGAGGTTGTCACACGGCTCGAGCCTTGGAAGAGCACAAGATGATCCATCGGCCGGATTACTTCTTCGAGTGCGAAGTCTGTCACGTGAAGTACAAGAGCGAGGACAGCCTGAAGAGGCACAACATGCGTACTCACAGCGGCTACGAGTCGAAGTACGTCTGCGAGCACTGCGGGCGTAGCTACAAGCTGAAGATCGACCTGACTCATCACATGAAGAGGACTCACGTCTCGGAGCTGCAGATCTGTCGATTCTGCGGCAAAGAGGTGAAAGACGTGAAGGGCCACGAGTGGAGACACCAGAAACGCAACAAAGAGGTGAAGTACGAGCACACCTGTCATCTCTGTCGCAAGAAGTTCCATCACAGGAGCAGACTGGACAATCACCTGAGGCTGCACGAGAAAGGGTTCAAATGCGAGGAATGCGGCAAGGAGTATCGCGGCACGCGTGAATTAATGAGTCACAAGAGGTTCAAACACGGCCAAGCGAAGATTTCCACGTGCATCCTCTGTCAGAAAGCGTTTCCTTCCAGCAGCAATTTCTATCAGCACGTGTTGACGCACGCAGGGATCAGGCCGTACAAGTGTGACGTCTGCGAGGAGGATTTCACGCAACGATCCAGTCTTTTGAGACACCGGAGACACCATCCGGGACCTTTGCCACCGTTGCACTCGACTCATCCGCAGATCGCTGAACTGGCCAGGAGCTACCTGCAGAAGCTGCAGAGCGACCAGATCGACAAGAGTTACGTGTTGAACGCGAGATTATGATCGATCTGGTTCTTCGTGAGTGGATTATGGTGACTTTTAACGGTGGCCTCGAATTTCTATCGTGCTTTTCTTTTTTTTTGTTTTTGGGAGACAGATAGGATCTTTTTATAATTTAGTCGATACTTGACTCGTGTCAGAGGTGAATTCTCGATGGTTTGACTGTAGCAACGAAGGCTTCAGCGACGATCTCGATTTCTCGTCAGTTCACAGAGATTCTAGTGTGCGTAGCTGGTAATTTGCGAGGAAGTTTTTTGAGGAATTGTTGAATTTTTAACCGGTGCCTATGATATTACGTACTTTAAGTGTTACATATTTTTCAACGATACTCTTCTTTTATTCGGAATTACGAAGGTTATTTATTTCCGTGGTAATATTTAATTTTTAAACAAACAGCGAGAGGTATGCTTGCTTACAGATTGAAAATTGTGTGTTTCGCTGTAAGCTGTGCAAGTTTTAATTCGAGTAAATAATAGTGAGGCAAACGAAACGTATTTCAACGTGGGAAATATTTTCAGCAATATTTTATACAGTAGACAGGGGAATAGTCGATGTTAAAATGTTCTTTTTTTATTTTATACAAAGGTATTAAGTTCCGATATTAACGATACCATAATGTACATACGTAATAAAAAGTAACCACATTTTTTATCTGTAAAAATTACAATCTAAAGAATTACACTTTTGTACATTTGTATATACATATATTACTATCCTCGAAAATGAAGAGAAACGATAGTTTTTAATTGTACCGTGCATGAGATATAATACAAATATCCTACTTCAGATCCAAATCTTCGTACTTATTCGTTACTACAAGAAGTCTAATTTGATATACTAAATCGATAGTTTTAAGTTTGTTACAATTTGACGTACTAAAAATGTTTATCCTCAAGTTTCGAATTTTAACACGTTACTTAACATTTCTATGTTTGCACAATTTTCCAAGTGCAATTCTACAAATATTAACATGAACACCGAATAAATTGCAACGATACGAAGTAACGGCGATGATAATTAGAGGATGATGGAAGTTTAGAGTGGATTTATCGAAGAGAGCAAAATAATAACGTCTTTCCCACAAAAATCGAGCCTCGTATTTCTTAAATACCCAAATTGCAAACAAAGAAGAAGAAAAAAATCGTGCCTACATATTTTTAACCATGTTATTACAGAGATAACTCGCTATTCTTTCTTCTGCAGTGTAACTATCCGTAAGTTCCGTAACACAGTGACTATAATCACGAAACACACATTGATAAAGCTTATCGTATGCATCCGACACGAGACTCTCGAGGAAGAGAAAGAAATTTTGAAGAAACTTGCCGAGTGAGACAGGTTTCTTAAAATTCTCCACCGACATTAGACACAGCCAGTGCATGCTCTCTCTCTCTCTCTCTCTCTCTCTCTCTCGTGCGCGATTTAGCAAAAGCTAATATAAAAAGAACAACCAAACACACACACACACTATCCTCTAAAACACAATCAATCCCAAGAGCGTAATCGACTGACTAGCTTTGTGGTTTTTTAGGTACAATGCGCTAGACCCACTCGCTCCAACTTTTCTGATAGTAAAACTAGAAGATAATTACTTTCGGATACCGACCTCGCTGAGCGTGTTCATGATGAAGGAACCACCGCCGAACGAAGAAACGAACGGCGAACCTTCGTTGAAAGACACCAACCAATCCTCCAGAACGAACCAAACCGAGGAGAGAAAGAACGACAAGGTGGTATCCAGCGGTGGTGATCAGTTCGAAGATCTCGAGGACACACCACTCGACTTCCGAAAGATGCAAGAACAGGAGAGGAACAAACCGGGCGGCAAGCAACAGCAACAAATGCCGAAGAAGAAGCTTCACACCTGCGAGATCTGTTACGCGACGTTCGATCGAAAGAGCAAACACACCAGGCACATGTACAAGCACAGCAACTCGAGGCCGCACAAGTGTGCCATTTGCACCAAGTGCTTCAAAACCACTGCCCACCTGTCCAGACACATGGAGGTGCACGACGAGCCGGTGAAACTGCACGCTTGCAATCTCTGCGACTTCAAGGCGCGCACGAAACCCTACCTGAAGATCCACTACATCAGGAAGCACACGGAGGACTACAATTACAAGTGCGAACAATGCGGCAAGATGTTCAAGGTCCAGTCGGATTATACGACACACGTGAAGGATCACGACTCGGAGTCGTGCGTCTGCGACATCTGCGGCTCGTCTTATCCCAGCAAGAGCTCCCTGTACTTTCACAAACACTACAAGCACAAGACGAAGGTGAAGAAGTTTCAGTGTCTGACGTGTAAGAAGAAGTTCAAAACGCAGAAGAACCTGGACAATCACATGGAACTGCACAAGATAAAGTACGTCTGCGAGCAATGCGGAATGGAGTTCAAGACGAAGTACGGGTTGACCAAGCACCTGAGGACTCATTCGGGGGAGAAATCTTATTTGTGCGCTATCTGCGGGAAGACGTTCGGCTGTCTGAGCTCGCAGAAGATTCATCTGTTGACGCACGTCGGGGAGAGACCGTACGTTTGCGATATCTGCGGCCAGAGCTTCACGCAGAGGTCGCCGATGATGTTGCATCGAAGGAAGCATCCTGGGATGCATCCTCCGCCTCCGCCTATCAAAATCACGAACCTGCTGCACGGTGTACAGGACAAAATAATCGTGAACAAGAGCGGCAAGTAACGCACATAGTTTTACGTGGACAATGTGTAATCGAGACAATTTTGTACATTTCTTGCTTTTTTTTTTTCTTTTTTTTTTTCTCTCTCTTCTCACTTCAACGCTAGGGTGTGAAACGTACGATAACGACGATGTTTGGGAGAGTTTTGTTGAATTTCTCGAATGACTGTAATTAGTGCCACGAAATTTCTTTCCGCAACGAAGCATTCTCTGTGAATTAATTAAGTGTACCCATTTAATTCGTTGCATTTTTGAGGGGAGTCTAGAAAAGAGGTTACTTGTGAGATTGGATTAAGGCTACCACCGTGTCTTCGTCGAACCACGTGATACGTAAGTCTTTTGATTTTTGAGAAATGAGTTTGCTTGGGACAAATCTGTTGCTACTTTTTCACATTTCTTTGCTGTTTCTTCTTTGAGCAGATTGTTGCGGATTGTGTACTGGAATGAGTTTGTAAGCTGGAATTTCGGAAATTCGACGCTAGTTGGTTGTTACTTGTTGAAATATCGCGTTTCCGTGATTTTTATGGTCATGTTAAGAAGTATGAAATTTAGCTGAATGCTAAATAAATTTTTTCGTTGAACGCTGTTGTAAAGTATGAATTTTGATAATTACACGAAGTGAGACTTCGTGAAATTTGTTGTTAACTTGGAATCTTTATTTTAACAAATTAATTTTAATTCGTCCAAATGAAAACCACGTTATTTCGAATATTTAATTGAATTTATATAGAGAAACGATTATTACGTTATTTTCATATTCGTTGCCTTCGATTTGTTTTTAACCGAGGCTAACATACTGTACAGCATAATGTTAATGTAACATAAAAGATGGTCTTTTTTTTTTAAGATTTTTCTCTAGCCCGAAGCGTCGACGAATTTTCGGGAGTGTGTTTTTTAAAGAAGGCTAAAGATCGACGATTCGAAAGTGATAGCTGTATGTTGTACTAAAGCTTGAAAAAAAAAAAAAAAGAATCAATGCTTCGTAAGCCGATAAATTTACAAGGAGACAGCTTTTATATGTATATGAATGTAAGTGTAACGTAAAAAAAAAGAAGTGTAATATAGACATCGATATTCGTACCGGAAAAAAAAAGTTTATATCGCTTGTAAATTTGAAAGAAAGAAATATATGTACACATATATAAGATTATGTAAAAAAGAAGTACCTTAGTTCTTACGGATTGTATCACTGTTATTGTACAGAAGAAGAATTTTTTCAATTAAGAAACAACCCTACCTTGTTAATGTTCAATGTACCGTTAATTTAAGACTGTTTCTTCTAGCGTGAAAATGAAGAAAAAACACTTTTAACTATATAATAACGTAAAAGGCAAAGTGCAATTTTTCCATTTTTTTTTTTCACATTTTCTGAAAACAGTGTAATTACTTTAAACGAAAAAAAAAAAAGAAGAAGAAGAATCAAACTTCAATCTTTCCATGTACGATAGTACGACGAAAGTCTAAATTTCTTTCCAGTTAAATACCAACGTTTCAGCGACAATGTAAGACACAGCCGTTCGCCGGGAAGAAAAACCAGTTTCAGTGTTTACTCTAAATGTTTACTCTAAATGTTTACTCTAAATGTTTACTCTGGATGTTTACCCTAACAGATATACCAAATCGTCATGTTTCTCCGCAGAACGAACAAATCGATCCTCTGGATCGTCTCTCACCCCTCACTAACACTCCTTCTTTCTCGTTTTTAGGCCCTCGACCTGCAATCCTCTCGAGCATACGTACCTCATCGTGCGAAACGTCGGCAAGTACTTCCTACTTCCCGTCGATCGCAAAGTGGACAAGCAGAAACCACCGACCGAACAATCGATCACACCGGAGATCAAAACCGAGTTGCTCGACGAAGTAGTCGAAGAAATACCGGATGAACCGTGCAACGAAGAAATATTCGAATTAAACGAGAAGCTTTCTTCGTCTTCTGTATGGTCGGCTCAAACGCCGTTGGAATTATCCGAATACTTGAAACAACATCCAACCTCGAGCTCCATGATCACGAAATACACAAACGGTGGAAAAATCGGCCAGATCTTCTGCTGCGACTGTTGCGGGAAGATCTTCAGGAGGAAAGAAACGTTGCGCAAGCATATAAATACTCACGACAACAAACGTACCTTCGAGTGTTCCGTGTGTCATCAACTGTTGAAGACCAAACGAACCTTGCTCTTGCACATGGGTCTTCACGAACACTCCGGTAAGCTGTACGAATGCACGGATTGCGATTTCATATCGAAGAGGAGCCACAGTCTGAAGCGTCATCAGATCAGGAGGCACACGAAGTACTTCGATTACAAGTGTCACCAGTGTCCGAAGATGTTCAAACTGCAGATGGACTTCAAGAGACACCTGCTGAAGCACGTAGTCGAGCCTTGTCGTTGCGACGTTTGCGGCAAGGTGTACCAGAACGAGTACTTCCTTAGGGTGCACCAGACGATGGGGAAGAACCGGAGGACCGCGTGTTGCAGGCGTTACGAACGGGTTAAAGGTGGGCAGGAGGTGTCCGAGAACGGTGTTTCAAAGGGTGGGAAGGTCGTGGTGAAGCCGACGACCAGGAGGCCGAAGAAACAGGAGGGGAGGAAAGTGTTCAAGTGTCCGCAGTGCAAGTGGCGATTCCGGAATTGGCGATTGCTTCACAGACACATGCAACGTCACCTGCTCTCGTACAAGTGCAACGTCTGCGGAGCTGTTTTTAAGTACAAGGCCTCGTTTTTGAAACACGAAGAAGCACACAGGGATAAGGACGCGTAATGAGAATGGCGAATTTGATTTTTTATCTCTTTTTTTTTTACTTTTCTGTTATAATACCGTGTATTATTTATGGAACGCTGTGGTACCGGCTGGTATTATTGAGAGCTTCGAGGGTTTCGCGGCCCGGTATGTTACGGTTTGTACTGTTTCGAGCTTTCGAGGTGCGAGCTGGTATTATTGGTGACTATAGGAAGCAGAGGTTTTTTTTTATCGTTATGTATAGGAGTAAATGGAAGAACGTGGTTGATGGAGAATGTTTGACCGTCTGTGAGATGTTTTACCATTTCGTTTTGAATTTTATGGCGTTACGATAGTATTGTAAGATTATACACGTGTCTTTCTTTTTTTTATTTTCTGCATGAGAGAGAGGGGATTGCATGGTTTAGCTGGAGATACGAGAATGAATGTGGATATCTTTTTGTCCGAGATTGAGAGAAGTGTTTGTAATAGTTTTAAGTAAGAATTGGCGTAAGTTCGTTGTGAGTACAAAATAAATGAATGAAAAGAAATCCTTCTCGAAAGTGTACTTTACGAATTCCTCTTCGACGCTGGTGTCTTCTGCGAATTAATACAGAAATTGTGTTATGATTTATCGAAAGTGACCGATTCGACGTGAAATGTAAGTATTATGATTTGAAATAATATCTTACGTTAGAGCTGTGTATCGCATAATTTCCAGATCGATATTTATGAAAATCTGAAAATGTTTGAAAAGTATTTCAAATTTTCGTATCTATACAGGAATGAATACACACGTATGGAAAATACTGAAATTACTAAATAAGGTTTAACGTTGACATTACCGTGTCGTATTTCGAATAATATTTCATTTGTAATTTAAAGCACAAATGAAAATTGTATCGCTTTTCACGTGTACAACTGAAATTATTTTATAGCTAATGTTTCGCAGCCACGTTTTAATTTCTCCGACACATGTAGATCGATCTGTGCCTTCTGTACGATGTAAATAAACAAGAAAATCCTGTATTGTTAATTTCGAAATCTCGTTCCGGCTGTTTAGGTCACAAACGAGGAAGAAGAAAAGTTAATGGAAGATAAAATCTGTTGAAGAATCAGTGAAGAACGTGAACTCGAAGAACGAAAGTGATAAATGTGACTGAAAAAATAATCTGTTATGTTTGTCATGAAAAAGTACAAACACAAAAGAACTCTGACCCATCGTAATGCGTGATTTTACCACAGTTCATTCCTCTTGCTTGCACGAGAGTCACTTTTATTTCACCGATTATCAATTGAATTCTTCGCGTATCGGTATCGTTTCTCGTAACAGTGACAAGTGGGCTAAGTTGACGCGAAAATCCTCCCTTAGAAAACACGTCAAGACGCATTCCGGTGAAAAATCCTTCGACTGTGAAATGTGTCGCCAGTGCAGATAGCAGAAAGGTCCGTTTTCTGACCCATTTAAACTTGTTCAAGTTGAAGTGTCATTCAACAACAAGCTCTTTACGTTCACTGGAAGAAGGAACATCCTGATGCCAAGGATTCTCCTCCTTCTGTGTCCATAACGAACATCGTCGATGCTGTGAGAAAAAATGCGCCGTGTAAAAAGGTGCACAAATATTGAGAAGATTATGTAAAAGTACATACAGTGATATTATAAAAAAAGACTAGAAATTTAAGTTGTTGATTTCTGAAGAAAATTGTTTTTCTTCTGTCTTTTTTTTTTTCAGTAAAAGAAAAGGTATTTGCTGTGTACTAAGTTGTGAAATTTTTGTTCTTTATCTGTTAAACTTTCTATATTCTGTTTCGTTCCATTTCTAATTATCTTCTGTAGAAATTGATGAATAAATTTGTTGATCTTTTTGTTGAATCCTGCAATATGATACAAATGTACCATCTAAGGAGTTTGTAAGTAACAAATCCTTGATTATGTTTGTTTAAACAACGAAGGTGTGTATAAGTGTAGGACCGTTCCAAGTAATTTATCTTTCGACTAATTTCACGTGTAAATATTTCGTAATATTGTATATAAAAAGAACTACACCTAACCGTCAACTGTAAATAGTATACATATTCCATAGTTCGTGTGTAAAATCGTGCGATTGTAAATTTCATTTCCATTCACGAGTCTCAACTTCAGAGATACCAGAAGCTTGCTCGAAGTTTGACTTGAGGAGAGAAATAAACTGGAGTAGAATATGTTCCCTTTACTGATTCGTTTCATTCATGTTTTAGGAAATCAACGCGGCGTTTAACCACGAAGAACAAGTCTTCGAGCATTCTTCAACGAAGAATCATATTTCGTGCTTCGAGAAATCGCAAACGCAGAAGCAACAGTAGACGTTTGAACAATTCTTGTCGCGTTCAGAGGAAAAATCTTCCCTCCAACTGCCGCAACTTCGAACCTGAAGAAACGAACGAAGACGAGAAAGTTTCGTCGATGAATTCTTCGAGTAAAAGATCCTCGCCAAACTTGGACAATTGTTGGACGAATAAGTCGAACAACCGGAAGGATTCTACTCAGCAAGAAGATCTGTACAAGAAACTCAACGACGGGACGTACACCTGCGACATTTGCCAGACGACGTTCGAGCAGAAGAGCAAGATCCTTCGTCACATCACCAGCAAGCACAGCTTCCATCGACCGTTCAAGTGTTCCACCTGCGACAAGACGTTCAAATACAAATGCGACCTGAAGGCTCACAGGCTGGTCCACCAAGACGTCGACTCGAGTTTGCTGCACTGCTGCGACAAGTGCGACTATCGAACGAAGACGAAGAACAACCTGAAGTCTCACTACATCAGGCGACACACCGACGACTACAAGTTCGCCTGTGAACACTGTGGAAAGCGTTTCAAGATGGAGTGGGACCTGAAGTTTCACATTGGAACGCACAGTAACTCGCAGCACATGTGTGACATCTGTGGGAAATTCTACACGAGCAACTATTCGCTGTACAAGCACAGAAAGGTGGCTCATTTGAACGAGTACAAATTTCAGTGCAACGTTTGCAACAAGAGACTGTTGACGCAGGAGAATCTGGACAATCACATGGAACAGCACAGTAGAACATACGAGTGCAAGGAGTGTGGAAAGGTGTTCGCCTCGAAGAGGTACCTGGCGACGCACACGACCACTCACACAGGTGTGAAACCTTACACCTGTCACATTTGCAAGAAGAACTTTCGAACGTCTCACATGAGGAACACGCATTTGTTGACTCATTCAGCGGAGAGACCGCATATTTGCGACCTCTGTGGACAGTCTTTTAAGAGGAGGTACTACATGATCGAGCACCGGAGGAAACATCCCGACGCCCATTTGTCTTCGCCTCCTGTGCCAATTGGAAGGAAGAAAACTGTGGTCGAGTCGGGGACAGAGGCTACGAGTGAATTTCAGACAGAGGTTTCTTTGTAATATCGCGATTGGTACTTAAGAGATATTTGTGGTAGCTTTATGTACAAATGCTTGGACAGCATTTCCTTTATTTCTCGAGTTTTTTAAGTATCTGTGCCATTATCGTTTACGATAAGCTGTGAAGATCGATCTGAGATCGAAGCGTGCAATATAATCTGTATAAATAGAGCGAGTGACGAAGTATGATAAAATGTGGTGATATTTGATAAGAATGATCAACAGTATATGTGTAAAATACTTTGTGAAACAGTTTGTACGTGCAGGATGAAGTTCACGTAGAAAGAAGAAATATTACCAAAAATATTAGTGAAATTATTGGTAATATTTTTGAAAATTTCATTTACCACTTCGTCCTGCAACCGCGATTGCTTTTGTATTTATTTATCTAATTCGTACGTTTACCTTCCAATTTTTATTTTTATACGAACTTCTTCTATCGATAGTGTAACTTTCTTACCGTTTTCTATCCACGAATTTCAAATCGACACGTAAAAACCAGCGAGTAAGAGAATCCAGCAATAAAGACGATGTAATCCTTGAAAAGAAAAAGCATAGTGAAAAATAAAAGACCATTCCTTAACCGTGCCTCGCAAACCTCACATACCGTAAGCTTCTATTGAGACACAATCGCATAGAAATCCGTAAAGACGTCTTAGATCAGCAGTAAGTAACGTCTATGTACCAAAGTGACGAGCGAAATTCCACGAAATTAATCGTTTCCCGTCTCATTCTGTTTTAGGGAACGAAACGACACCAAGAGGATCCTCACCACCGATTCTTCCGGTCGGTTCATCGTTGGAAAAGACTCCGTACCCATGCAGATCTGGCAGCACGTCGATCCTAACGGTAAATTGCACTATTCTCTGGTACCAGCTGTTCAAGATGTCGCTAAATCCGAAGAAAACGCCGAATCGTCTCTGTTATCCGTGAAGATCGAGAACGAGGAGCAACAGAACAAGGTGGACCACTACGTTGGATCGTTGCTGCATCTGTGCGAGGTCGCCATCGACTTCTGCGCCTGCGACAAGTGCGGAATGAAGTTTCCCATGGCGAGCATGCTGAACAGACACAAGATGTCCCACAATCTGAACTCCTGGCTGCGTAGAAAACGACTTGGTACTGGACAACAGTTGAAAGTGACTTCGGGAAGACTCAATAGACAGGTGCAGTCGCAGAAATCATCGGAGAAACGGAAATACTCTTGCACATCCTGCGACTTCAGTTGTGGCAGAAGATCCACGTTGACTGTTCACGTGAGAAAGAAACACAGATTGTCTACGATTAAAGAAGATTCTAGAAGAATCTCTTGTACAGTTTGTAACCAGAAGTTGGACAGTCAGTCGAGTTTGACGAGACACATGGAGGAGCACAAGGATAAAAAGGCGACCTGTTTTTCCTGCAACACTTGCAGCTTCGTCTGCAAAAGAAGCAGCACTCTAGTTTCTCACGTTACTCAGAATCATCAGAGGAGCAACAACGAAGACACTTACTCGAGAAAGAGGAGCAAGGTGACAAAATGCAACAACGTTCCTCTGGAAAAAGACAAGTCGAAGGAGAGCTGTCTTCAGGATCGAGATAAGGACGCTTCTTCGTTCGTCTCCTGCACACCTACCGAGTTGGAATGCAAGAGCGAGTCTTCGATGACCACTCGAGCAGGAAGAAAGCACAGCAAGAAGCCTGTAGAGGAGCAGTGCAATTTCTGCGACTTCAAATGCTCGAAGAAGAGCACCTTGTACTCGCACAAAAGACAGCACAAGAACACGGACACGAGCGAGGTGTACTCTTGCAACGAATGTACCTTCAAGACGAATAAAAAGTCGTCTCTGTACTCTCACATAAAGAGGAAACACAAAGTGCCTAAGTCTTGCACGCCGGATGGCCAGCCGCAGTTGTTCTACTGCAGCCAGTGCGAGTACAAGAACAAGAACAAGTATGAGTTAAAGGTGCACGTAGCCAGGAAGCACACGGACGATTTTAAATTCTCCTGCGAGACTTGTGGGAAGAAGTTCAAGGTGAAAGGTGATCTCACCAATCACATACGCTTCAGCCACAAGGAGCAGCCGGTTATCTGCGACGTTTGCGGAAAGACGTGCCTGAACAGCAACTCTCTGTACGTTCATCAGAAGTTCGCTCACTACAAGGCGAAGTACGAGTGTCAGGTATGTAAAAGACGAATGGTCACTCAGGAGAACCTGAACGAGCACATGATCAGGCAGCACGAGAAGAGGGAGAACGTGGTTTGCGAGGAATGCGGTAAAACTTTCTCGAGGAACAGCAGGCTGAAGGTTCACATGAGAATTCACACAGGTGACAAACCGTACACCTGTACGATCTGCAACAAATCTTTCGCGCGTCGAACCGCTTTGAAGCAGCATTTGCTGATTCACACCGGAATCAGGCCTTACGTGTGCGACATCTGCGGGAAAGCGTTCACGCAGAAACCGGGATTGATCAGTCACAGGAAGTCTCATCCTGGCTCGCATCCTCCGCTGCCGAGAGTGTTGATCGATCACATATTGAACGACGTGATGAACAATTGAAACAGTCGCGAGTGATGGGTTCAATCGTGAACAGAGAAGATTCTACACTTGCTGTTGCGTGTAATTCATTCGTGCTTTCTGATTCATACCGTTTTTAAGACTGTTAAGAGAACTGTGTAAAGAATTATGTTACTCGATAAGGTTTATACGATAGAGTATATCGTCTCGTATCATTTTCTTCCAGCTTGTTAACGCCATTATGGCACGCAATACGTAAGCTACACGCTCTGATAGACTCTTCGCGAAGAGTTCGAGTTTCTATTAAGGGAATCCACTGTACAAGCACCGCCATAGCGTACTATCTAAGCGATTGCTCGAATCTCTGTTTTGAAATTCTGATTAGTTAAATTATTTGTAAAGAGAAAAAAAGAGGAAGAAGAAAACGTTCGTTCAGTTTCCGTTAGATTTAAGATCGTTTCGTTCTCATTTTGTAACACTCCATTGTGTATGTATATAACCTGCATATCTGTAAAACACATACTGCAAGGTACCTTTTTTTATGTAATATATCGCCATTGATTTGAAATTTGAGATGTGTCGTGTTGAATGGTGAACACTCATCGCTCGATCTTCCGTTTACAGTTGAATTGCGTATCGACGATGCAGAGGATTTCCTCGACTTACTAATATCCTGTTACTCATTGATAATTACACGATAATCAGACGGTACGTCTGCGATTGTAAGTCTGACGCGTTTAATTTCATTCCTTCATGTGAGAAAAAAAAAAGAAAAAACTTTCAATTCACAATGATGAAAAAAAAAAAATTGTCTTACGGTATATGTAAAAGAAAAAAAATACAAGGACGGCACGGAACAATAACGAGTTGCCGAAAGAAAAAGAAAAAAAATAATCCAGGTGCTCGTTTGTGAAATACCTAACTGACTGTTCTGTGCATTTCAGGACTCGAAACGGGGACGGGCGTTTCATATACGGCAAGGAATCGATTCCGATGCAACCGTGGCAGGTAGTGGACGTCGAAGGTTGCCTCTACTACGCCTTCCTCCCGACAAATCAACCGCGAAAGCTCACGGAACGCGAGAAGAAACCGAGCGCCAAATCCACCGACCAAGAACTTCCGAAAAACAGCAACGAAGACACGGAAGAGACTTTCATGATTCCAGCGGAAGACGAGACGACGGACGCTAATTTGTGCTCGATCAAGATAAAAAAAGAGGACGTTGACGACGTGACATCCACGAACGTGGATCTCTACGACGACGACAAAGTGTACGCCTGCGAGGAGTGCAACATTTGCTTCCCGGTGATGCAGATGCTGAAACGACACAGGAACGCGATTCACGAGCAGGCTCAGCGTTACAAATGCAAGGTCTGCTTCAAGATCTGCCGCAGCCTGGTGGCGTTCAAGATGCACGTAGCGTTGGAGCACAAAACCGAGCAAGAGGAGCTGAAAGACGCGGAGAGTTTGACGTACGCTTGCAACTTCTGCAACTACGAGAGCACCAACAAGTCCACGCTTCATTCGCACATCAGCAGAAAACACTCGACCAAGCGTATCAGCAGGAGAAGAGGCAGCTACAGGTACACCACGGAGCCGGAGGAGTATTCTTGCGACGTGTGCGAGTTCAAGTGTCAGAATCGACGCAGGCTGAAGGAACACTTGGAGCGGAAACACGCGTCGGAGTACAAGTACGACTGCGAGTACTGCGGCAAGAAGTTCAAAGTGAAAGGCGACATGAGGCTTCACGTGCGTTTCAAGCACAAAGAAGGGCCGATAGTCTGCGACGTTTGCGGTAAAACCTGCTCGAACAGCAACTCGCTGTACGTCCACCAGAAATGGGCGCATTTCAAGCCGAAGTACGAGTGCGAAATTTGTAAAAGACGCATGGTCACGCAGGAGAACTTGGATCAACACATCTTGCTGCAGCACGAGAGGCGAGAGAGCTTCGTCTGCGAAGAGTGCGGCAAGTCTTTCACGGAGAATCATAGATTGAAGCAGCATATGATGACGCATACGGGAGACAGACCTTACGATTGTCACATCTGCGGCAAGGCTTTCGCACGGAGGACAGCTTACAGGCAACATTTGCTCATCCATACGGGGAAACGTCCGTATATCTGTGATATCTGCGGCAAAACGTTCACGCAGAAACCTGGCCTGATCTGTCACCGGAAGTCTCATCCTGGCGTTCATCCTCCGCTTCCTGTCGTCCACATAGAACACATTCTCAGCGATTTCATGAAGAAGGAATGATGATTGTGACGTGTACATTCGACGACCGTGTCTATGAGGAACGTGAGAGTTTCTCCGATTTTTTGGAAGAATTTCTGGTGTTCCTTTCAATCGGAATCTTGCGTAAACTGAACTCAATCGAATTTGAAGTATTGAAGAAAGATGAATTGTCTTCCTTGTTTTATCTATAGATCGTTGTTATATTGACCGTGTTGAAGATTCGTTTTATCGGAGATAGAAATGTATGAGAAGAGAAGCTTGAATGATTTTTTTCGTGTAACGCGCTTAATATGTAATGATTGTAACTATTGTCATTTTCGCGATACGAATTGATCGGAGATTTCTTCGTACCATTTTCTTTGCTCGACCTTTTCGTACATGTTTTCAC